TATGACGAAGAGAATAAGAGCAAGCTATGGATACAGGCAATAAGGGTAAACATGAAGAAGCTCCTGGGAGTGAAGGCGGACTTAAAAAGAGCTTGAGGCCGAACAAGGGCTTCGAGGAGAGTAAGGCGAGTACATAAGTACACCGCAGCATGATAAGAGGACATGGTTACCAGTATAGACAGAGCAACGCAGGGAACATTTCTTCAAGTTATCGGTTTATTTTCCAAATGCAAATATCTAGAATAATCCATATTTTATGCCAAGATGATACCGCTCCTTCGGCTATGGTCTGGCAAGTCGCAAACTTTATACGGGTAACTTTTCGTCTCGCTGAAAAGAGAAGTTGTATATGACGTTGGTCATACCCGACGTCCCAGTTAAAGCTTCTGTTACTCTCTTAGCTTTAAAGCATCCCAGGCATCCTCAATGTGCGGCCTGAATAGTATACGGCTGCTTGAGTTATACTGTATAAACTGCATCCCCTTGAATCTTAAAAATATTATTCAAAGCACCTGAACGATCGGACTTTATGTGTTGTGTTCATATATATATATAAAAGTGCCAAAAAAATTATTAGGTTCGTTACGTATTTACCCTAAAGAATTACATGGTGCTAACGCCAGGATCTTGCATCGTTCAAGAAAACGATTAGAATTGGAGAAGTTGAGGCTAATTTCGTTTACTTGTACAATATGCTGGCGTTGGAGTCAGCCGGTCGTCGGGGAGTTTACGTTGGATATGCGCCACAAATCATATCGCGTATCATACTGCCGTAAACGTCAGTAGCCCTTGGATAATCTTAGTTCGGGTCCAGAGAAATAAGATGGAGAGGAGTGACGAAACGGAGAGACGAAGAATAGAATATGAAGCGAGAAGACAGAAGTAAGAAGAGATAGGAAATGGCTTGCGAGAATCATGAGATTGCTGCCAAATGTTTATTTTCGTGACGACCAAGCCGAAAGCTGCCGTGACAAAAATACCGTTTCTAATGACGCGACGAAATCGTTGAGAACTGCCGCTATAGAAACCTGTATCCCCGATATATTTTCAAGTTTCCCGTTTGATTTTAAATTATTAATTGTCCTTCGGTCTTTGTACTCGGTCGGCGACTGTCTGCTTTCATGAGAGCGACCGGATGTACCTTCGAGCGATGAGGGATGCCTGAAATAACGCGGACGTATTTTCTTTCAATCTGGCTCGATCGGATTGAAAAGCTCATGGGCTAAGACGGTGAATGGAAAAGTCGCAATGGGGATGATATGGCTAAGGTTCAAGCTGAGACGATGGCTGATGGGAAGATTTCTAGGAAAATGAAAAACGAGGGCATAAACAGCTATCGTTCCGATCCGTCGACGTCGTAAAGTTTTCCATAAATGTAAGCGTCGCAGTCGTAATCGTCAAGGCCATCCCTTGGACATTAAACCGCTGAAAGTCCCTTGATGGTTACATTATATTCATACATGGACGTCAATATGAAGCTTCGATTGCTCAGTCAGTCAGTCAGTCAACTGAGTCATCGTACCATGAATGACAAATCCAAAATGAGTTTTCACCTAAAGGACAGTAAAAAGGAACAGGCCTCTATTTTTGAATTTTAAAAGAAAGGACAAGTAAAAAATGAAATTCATGGGGTTTGGGTTCTGAGCGTCGGGACGTTCGTGGAACTTTTTACTAAACCAATTAAAAACCCTAACGGCCATGCCAATTATCTCCGTTGCCGTGTCTTTTAACATGGCAATGAGCTTGCGAAAACTAAAAAGCCAAAACCTCGCTTCGCTCGACCGTAGAACTTTAACAATCAGTTCCGCGTTACTCCCATAAAGGGGTACCGGTAGCCTTCGAATACAAGTACCTTGAACGCACTATGGGTTAAGCTTTTACTAGACTAATTTTTCTTGCCTTTTGGCAAGATACCTGCATTGTATCCTGTGTATCCAAAATAACCCAACCTAACATCCAATGTACGAACATAGTGTATGTCGTGTTCGTCTTGCGCGTGTTAACAATATAAACTGTGGCATGTCATGGACTGTAGTTAATTCAATGGCACAGTGCGTGCCGCTAATTGAGCTATTAGTAGACGCGTCGGGACTAATTAACAAGGTGTAAAGCTCGGACTTTTCACTCGGGTACATCAAAGGAACGCGAACGTTGCTTCTGGTAAAATTTCCAGTATAAGGATTTACCTGGATAAAAGTCACCTGAGGAATTTCCTAAGCCATGGAAAACATCACGTTTTATTCGCAGCCTTCTTCAGCGATAGGGGATGTACCGATAAAGCTTTTTCAACCTCCCTTTTTTCGAGGGAAGATTTTACCTACTGCAGGTGACAGCTGACTTGGAAATCAGCGATACCAACGGGACTTCCGTATAGCTAATATTTGCTGTAGGTTTTCAATGCTTGCAGAGTATTCGCAATTTTTTCACCATACACCGTATACGATAAATCGGTTTCGTACTCAATTTTTTTTTAACGGTTCAATATGTAAAGAGAGAGTGAGACAGAGAGAAATTTATTAGAGTGAAAGATATAGAGAAACGATACGTTGAATGCATTCCAATGGCGATTATGGTTCTGGATTGAGAACTGAGATAAATATATGTCTAAAGCGACAATCATCGAAATGTTGGTCGCCCCTTTTACTCCTTTCTGTCTCTCATCGAAACTCGGCTTTCAGTCAGCTTTCAGATACCATGGGTTCGCTGTGTATCTCGACGGATGGGTTTCGTAAGTCCGTTTATCACCGGTAAAGAGGGTCTAGTAGCTACGCTGATAGGGACGTGGAGAAAATTACAATCCAAGCAGCTTGGAAACCAGTGCTTTCCCTTTAGGGTTAATTGAGGGTAGAAACGATGACTGCTTGGATTATGCTAATATCTGATATAGAGAAATACGTCTATACCGATTCTCGTTGCTTTGATCACGATATTTGAATGTAATGCATTTGAGTAAAGGGTTGTTGAAATTCGTAATACTGCGTAATGCGATTTTCTACACCCTCTTGTGTTATACTGCGATGTACTGGACAATGGTTCCGAGGGTTGACTTTCATCTAATACGTCTTTAATGTTGAACAATAACAAGGAAAGGACGTTGTTGCTCGATGATACAATGAAAAGAGGTCCTAAAGTTACGTAAGCCTTTTTAAGCCCTGAAATAACAGGGGTAAGAATGACGAAGAGGAAGGGTGAATAGTGCCGAGAGAGTGATAACGCATTTTTCTGTTAACCTGGTCTCAAGGAATACTCGGTAAAAAGTTAATTGATTTATTATCTCCCAGTAAATGACGCCAGAATATACGTTGTTGTCGTGGATAAAAGTGAAAATAATATTTCAGATACTTATATCTGTATATGACGTACGTGGAATTAAATTTATTAATCGACTCATTAAAATTGTGGGAATTCTATTTTGAGGTGGATTTCTAAAAAAGAAAAATTACAAATCTCAGGATATTCTTATTTGACGACTTAGGCAGTGCGCGGGTTGGCAGACAGGTAAATTGGTAAGCGTTTCCCATGTAATGGGATGTAATCAAAATTTACGATGCCTGGGAATCGCAGGTGTTCCGCAAGATAATTGTTCGCACTTCGTCGGTTAAAATTACATTTCCCACAGACACGAACCCCGAGATTGACCCAGGTTGCAATCGGCCGTTAATGACTTACAATTATTTAATACCGCAATTAAGCGTCACGGCGGATCCGTCGCGTCTGGAATAGTGTGTGCCAAATGATTCAAAATTCATATGTATAGGCACTCTACAATACCTATGTGATATCTTAACAGGAATTCTCACTCTATTCTCTCTTTCCAATCCTTGTGCAAACATCTCGTCCACGATGATCCAAACGACCTGCTTTGGCGTCCCAACGCACTTTCATTCTGGCAACGGTTCAAATTCCGGCGAATCTTTCATAGTAAATTTAGTAGGCGCGCACGCACCCGCATGAAACGAACGTTTTCCAACATTATTTCCATCTGTATTCATAATTTCACCCGTTGCAATTTCTATTCTACTTATAAATTCAAGTTACCATGCGTTATGCATATGCAACTACGATATCATTTTCTGTTCATAATTCTACACTCTGAATACTAGGTATCTATCGGGTTTATTTATTTTTTTCCCCATAGAGAACTGGCGCTTCGCTAGCAGAGTCCAATAAAAATAAGCGTTCCGCTTCTTTATTCACCGACACTGTCTCGCCCTCCACTCAGACGGATTATTTTAAGTTCTTTTTAGCTTGTAGCCAATAAGAGAAGGTATAAGCTAGGTCACCCGGTATATTCATTATTTTATTTTTCCACCGATTGTCACTCTCCAGCGCTCAATTAAATCTTGACTAACGCCTACAACTTCAGTGGGGTGGACTCATCGATACTTGAGTCAACTAGCATTAGGAATCATAGATGGCTGTGATTTACGCAACAAAATACAAGTAGCCTCCGAAAGATGTAAAGTAGAAAGAAAATGTATAGCCAGACACAACCTTTAAAGTTTCTTGACGTGCCTCGCCAGAAGCCGACCAGCTTAATATAATGAACCGACCTTAAAATAAAATCTAGCAGCCGACCTCAAATTGTGCGTATAATAATTTTTACAAGTTTTCGCCCTCTCTGCCTTCCAATTTCAACACTGACAGCAGCCCCTCTTCACTGCTTGTTTGGCCATACCGAATTCTAACCTCCCTCCGCGTTTCATGGCAGCTTTATTTTTACGAGCAGTAAAACAATGAGGTTAGGAGCTACTAGCTCGCTAATACAACGTGGTCAGAATACCTTCGGTATTTTTATAATATTCTCGGATCTGTTTATCTAGAGCCGCCGTAAACTCCTGCACTCCCGTGTTAAATCCGTCTTTTCCGTTTCTTTTCAAAGGCGCAAAAGAATTCCGCAAAGAAAAAACAAACGAACAAAATAACGAAGGGTGGAGTCTGGGGATGAGTTATAATAAAAAAAAAAAACTTATTTCAACTATTAAAAAAAAACATCTCACCTTAGCTTGTGCTCCGAGGGCGGCGACTCCTCCGGCGATTTGTAGCTGTTTCCCGTCTGCAACAGACAACCCCCATCTTCCTTTATACACCTATGTAACGTAACGCGCTGTAGCTTAGTATACCTATATCTAACATTTTTTTAAATGTAGAAACCTTTCAAGCCACGGATTATCGCTATGCTTTTCTAAAAGGGAAATCCGCTTTCCTCTGTTTCTCATAATCCCTCTGGTCTTCAGTCTCTACACGGGATCAAATCCCTTGCCAATCGACCCTATACATATACGTATGTTTATACGTATATACTATAGACACTAACCATATCGGAAGCTGTGTTCTCTATCGACAAAGGATTAACGTCCCAGCGTAAGGCAAACGAGTATATCACACGTGGTCGTTGCCTGGGCAGTAACCATGTCGGCGCAACTTGTCAAGCACGTCAACGTTCAAGGTAAACGAAGAGCTTTAACTTGGCACTAATCATACGAGGCGACGTGTCAAAACGTATGGTAAATTTCTATAAAGTGAAACTTAGCCAATATCCCGCATGGGTCAAAGGTATTTCGCACTAGCCCGTATTTACGGTTCACACCTTGAAAATTTAGTAGGGCTCGGAAAAAGCTTCGTAAATTCATTCGTTATCCTGATTCCCCAGTAGCGCCAGGTTGGCTGTGGGTTATTGAGGAGGTGAGGGGTGGCGATATAAACACGCCAGGGGTAGCACGTGGGCGTCATACGAGGGGACGGGTGGGGCACCATACTTCATTTCCAAAAGCAAACACTGAAGTTTGCTGGTTTCGTTATCGGCAATGCAATTATACTCGCAATCGCCGCGGCCATGATGCCCGTTATTGCTCGAATAATATAATTACTTTATGAAACAATTGTCATTACACTACCGACGTTAATATACCACTAACATGATTAGGATGGTAATGAATTGGTGGGCGGTTTATTCGCACTCATTGCTTCTGTGGCTCGATTGATATCTCGCATGTGTTTTTATGCGCAGGTTAAAAATTGAAAGGGACCGTAAACGTAATTAAAGACTCACACTGTGAATTATTTATTTCCATTAGATATTCGTCGCTCGACACTTTCCATATTTCATACACGCTTGTTCCATCAGTCGCATATGTAATTATTGTCAATCATTTATTAAATCAATCTTAATTCACCTCTCACTCGCACTCACGTATAACGGTCGACGCGATATTTTCATTAGATAATAATAATAATAACCTGCCACAAAGATTTAAATCACACGATTTTCACTGTACCCTCCCGCTTTTTTCTTTCGTCTCCCTTTCCCTCCTTTCTGAAAAAAAAAAGAACCTAGGTGGTAGGTAATTCAAAGAGCTTAACGAAGCACGAAGAAAGAAAGTAGCTAAGTAAGTAAGTGTTTTCTTGGACTTTCACTCGATATAAGAGCGCGTGCCAGCCAAGTTGTGCTTGGCCCATGAGAGTGGCTCTTGGCTCTTGGTTCTTGGCACTTGGCAAGCTCTCTCTGTTCTCCCCTGGAGGAAGAGCAATAAGAGAAGGAGGCGTAGGAGTAAGAGCAGGAGTGGGTATACGAGAGAAAGAAAAACGAGAAGACGAAGAAGATGAAGAAGAGTCTGCGATGTTGGTAGAGCCAACGGAGAAGAAGGAGTAAGACACTGGGTGGCTCTTCGCTCGGCTGACTGGACCGAAATACACAGGAATAGCTGGTGGCTATAGATATACGAGACATAAGAGACTTTAGTCTGGTATCAGAGTCTCAACTAGCCACGTATACTCTGAGGTCCTCCACATAGATGGAAACGATATACCACCTTCAGTTTCAGCCACCTCCTTTCCCTCTTTCCCTACACACTCTTCATTTCTCTCGTACAGCTTCAGTCTTCGTCATGTCAGGGCCGGCTGTTATTTTTCGTCGAGTTTCGTTCGCCGCATCCCTTATATTTATTTTTGTCTTTTCCCTTTTGAATAATAGAGGAAAGTAGCGAGAAAGTGGGTCGGTAGCCCGAAGCGGATCTCGAAGGATCTCGGATCGGTCGCGGATGATCTTACCTTGTCAAAATCAGCCCAGGGCGATCATTTCGACGGAAGTACTGCGTGTCCAGGCTTTTTTCGGTATATTGCACGAGCATGAGATTACCACTGAATCAGATGGAGAGGCGACGAGTGTATTTGGAAATGCGGATGCTGGGGATATGGAGAGTGGAAAGGTGTTGAGGGATGTGGGATGGTACATACTATGCATGTGGCATTGGCATTATTGGCAGTATTGGTACTATTGTAGCAACCAGGTGGCATTGTAATCTCAAGGCTTAGCGGTTGCGCGGGTGTTAGCGCTAGCGTCAGTCTAATCACCCGGAAGTGTTGGCATTGTGCGCCACTAATCTGATCACAGATGCTTCTCCCTCCCTGAAATCCTTCTCTGTGTTTCCTCCTCATGATTTCTCTCTCTCTCTCTCTCTCTCTCTCTCCCCTCTCTCTCTCCCTCTCTCTCTCCCTTGCCGAAATATCACACTGTCGCTCTCTCTCTCTCTCTTTCCACTACGTGTTTGTTTCTGGTTGCGTTAGCGGATTTGGTCCAGACTGGAGCCTTGTTTCCTCCCTAATCTCACTCTGAGTGTCTCGGATATAAAATACGTGACAAAGCCCTTTTGTCCTTAACCGGAAACGTTGTTCTCGACGAGAGGATATTCTGATACTCTGTTTTTTTCCAACAGGATTATTGCCATTTCGTATCCCACATGGGATATCTGTAGGCTCCTACGTAGCTTCTAATAGACGATGGGAACAGAACGGTTGTGGATGTACGAAATAGTTGGTAAAAAGAAATAGGTAAAGAAATTCGACTTTTTCAAAAATAAGATGTTTCGAGAAATTGCTCTGGAAGGATAAAAAGTATAAAGTGACGTAAACTTATTTAATGCATGTTCCGTCGGTGGTGCCTTACCCGGAAAACCACCTGAGCGAAATTAAAAATTCGAAATATCCACCCGGTAAGCATACGGCTTATCACAGTGCTATGCACCCTGTGCTCGTGTAGGCAAGGGAAATATTTTTGAAACGAAGAACGCAAAGTAAAAACCACTCTCTAATTAGCTCGCTAGACGAGCTTTTTGTTTAATTAACACGCACGCGGTAAACTACCTGCGCAATTTCCGCAACACACACGACATCATCCCAGGTCCCCTCCTTCCGCCGTTTTCTCTGTCGGGATACCTCCCTTATTCAACCCTTTTTTCAACAAGCCATTATACAGCTGATAGGTATTCGTTTACTCGAAGTTTACGCTCGAGAGCTTTAAAACGGCTGTTTCTCATAAAAAATTCTCACAGTATATCCGTACGCGATATACTATAAATAATGAATCGCGTATTTAGCCCCCACCTAAATCTTCTATTTTTACTAGAAATTCTTTAATTATTTTACGTAGTTTGGTAAAATTCTTTGTAAAAAAAATTACAAAAATTTTCTCTAAAAAATTTCACAACTTCGTATTTTCCCATACGTGCACCTACGTTCTAATACGGTTTCTTTATAAATTTGCCTGTGTACAAGGGATTGTACCCACGAGTAGTTTTACTCCAGTATGCAGTTCAGCACCCGATCGCCTGATGTAGAATTTCCCTGGATGAGTACATGCGTCCATGTTATGTACATACGTGGGGGCGCTTACATGCTCGTGCTAAACACACGTAATCCCAGTGGGTAGGATCAGAGTATAGAGAAGTGTGTTCAGTCGCGTTCCTGTACTCCAACGTTCCGTCGCGCACTGGTTCCGAGTTCAGTCTGGTTCTCTAGCGGTGGACGTTAGGTGCAGGTGGTGCCTGCGTATTTATAGCCAAGCCGTGACTCCTCTTCTCTACGTCTGCCTCTTCCTCTTCCTGTTCGGCAACGAGGCGAGCATTCTTCCTCCTGCCTCCTCCCCCACCCATCCTCCCACTTCGTTTCACCCTCACGACCTACTGTCTAGACAGTCTACTAAACTGCTTAGCACGTATCTCCTTGGAGTCTCTGTATCCAGATACGAGTATATAAAAAAAATTGAATCTCATTCTTGCTTCTACAAATTTAAAATACAATTAATAACTTTTTTGCACATGTTTTCTTACAAGACTTAGACAATTCAAATAGTTCAACTTAAAAAGCACGTTCGATGTGCCAATTATTGATTATAGGATTTCATCAGTACTCGCAGGGGCTGAATATACAGTCTTTTGCATTATGAGATAACGGGTATAGTATTGTTGTGTATATATATATTTATTTCTTGGATATTATTATTTTTCATAAAAGTAATGTGACAGGTGGATATATCCATGCATCTGTGTGCTCTTAATGATATATTTTTTATTCCTAGTACCAGATTCCGTATAACGATAATCCTTATCAAGTGTACCGACACGATGCTCAATGAGATAACCCGTGGGTCAACACTTTTCCATATACCCGTTATCAGATAAGGTCAGCACAGCCAAGTCTAGCACGCAGCTTGCGTGTCACTTGCAGCCCTTAAGAGCGATCCCCTTCTCCAGCACAGTGGTTAAAGTCTTGTCCAAACTGAACAGAGAAGCTTGTTTGTTCCCAGGCGTAATCTCGATCGGATGATCTCAGCTGAAGAGTGCGCGCTCGTCTTTCGTGACTTATATAATGCCTAAGGACACTTCCGGTTCTCTTTAATAACTTCCAGGCATTCGCCAATTATTTTTCATATTTCTCGATAACGACCTGCCTCCGTCTAGGACACTTGACGCATCCCCCATTCTTTCCTGATTATTTCGCATCAAGGATCAATAAATATGAGAAAAGAGATGTTCCTTGCTCGTAACGATAATATCGCACTGAATGCTGCCAAATGAGACAGACTTTTACGTGACTGTCAACGAGCTGTTGATGATTGACGAGAATGGCATCACGGCGGTAAATCAGGCTCGGGTAATGTACAGATGAGGCACGTATGTAGCCGGTAGACAAGGATGGATGTACCAAGCGCATAATCAACTCACGTCACAATGGCGTTTACTCGTGTTGCATTGGCTCCAGGTTGATACGGTAGTAGCA